TCATTTAGTGACCATTCGAAGTTATAACGGCACTGAAAAAAGTGACATGACATGGAGATAACTCACTTAACAACGGTCTCACTTAGCAATGGAAATTTTGGACTTAATTAAGTCAAGGACTACTAGTATAGATTTCACCTCCTCAGAGAAGGAGTTAAAAATATGATCATTAGTTCACGTTGCCAAATTCCAAAAAATTAAGTGGGTACATTTGGGAAAATATACCTAGAAATTTTTGCTCAAACAGATCATTGCCTAATTCAAAAGAGCACCGTTAAACTCTTCCAAATGGTGCTAATAATGTAATGTAATTTCTTAATGTGAAAGATGAAACTATGTTTAAGGAGAGAAAACTATACATACGGTATTTTTAGCTTACATTAAAATTAACTATATGCATTTTTGTTGTTGTTTTGGGGTTTATTAGTATGCAGCTCCTAGAACATGATGTGTTATGTATCTACATCCTGAGATAACAGTCTGTATTTATATAATTAAAGTATTCTATATTTATTTTAATTGCTTTCTTACTGCTTAAACATTTTTCTCTTTTTTTAAAAAAAAACCCTCAACTCTTTGCTTTAAAGAGAATTCTGAAGTTTGTTTCGTATTTCACATTGAAGGTATAATCCAATGAATGGATACTAGTAAAAGCAACTGGTTATTCTGTTATGCAAAAGATAATAATAGTAATAATAATAATGTTTCTGCAAGATTGAACCCAAAGAGTAATCTTGAAAAAGTAAAAGCAAAAGGTTGAACATGGTGAAGAAGAGAGATTACTTCAGTGCTGCCAGTTTAGAGAAGAAACAGTGAGTAAGAAGGACTGTGTGTTCTTCCATATTATCTTCGTTTTTTGTCTTTTGTGGCTCAGCTGGACATCTACGGTATTTATAAAATAATCTGACGGTGATGCGCGATCCAAAAGTTATTATACAGGTAGTCCTCAACTTACAACCACAACTGAGTCAAAAGTTCTGTTGCTAAGTGAGACCGTTGTTCAGTGAATGCTGCCCCGTTTTACGACTTTTCTTACCACAGTTGTTAAATGACTCACAGCTCATTGTTAAGTTAGTAACATGGTTGATAAGTGGATATGGCTTTCCTATTGATTTTGTTTTTTCCAAAATCAATAGGAAAGCAACATTTTGGGGCAGGTTACAAAAGGGGATCACATGACCTCAGGGCATTTATGCAACCGTCATAAATGTGAGTCAGTTGCCAAGTGTCCAAATAGAAACTGTCACTAAATGATTACTGGCTAAGTCTGGCTAAGCAGTGGAAATTTTGGGCTCAGTTATTGTCATAGGTTGAGGACTACCTGTTATTCTGTTAGGAGATTGAATTTAATAGCTGGAACAGTAAAGTATACAATAGGCCAGTTCTACAGGTAGTCCTTGACTTTCGACAGTTCATTTAGTGACCGTTGGAAGTTACAATGGCACTGGAAAAAGTGACTTATGACCTCTACACTTACGACCCTTAAAGCATCCCCATTGGTCAAGTAATCAAAATTCAGAGGCTTGGCAAGTGACTCATATTTATGACGGTTGGTGTGTTCCCATGGTCACCTGATCCCATTTTGCGACCTTTTGACCAGCAAAGTCAACAGGGAAGCCAGAGTCACTTAACAATCCTGTTACTAACTTAAGACCTACAAAGATTCACTTAACCACTTGGAGCAACAAAGGCCGTAAAATGGGCAAAATTCACTTAACCAATGTCTCGCTTAGTAACAGAAATTTTGGGCTCAGTTGTGGTCAAGGACCACCTGGAATGGATTAGTTAGAGAGTGCTGACCAGTGGTGAAATTCAGGTTTTCTTACTACTGGTTCTGTGGATGTGGCTTGGTAGGTGTGGTGTGACTTGGTGGGCGCGGCTTGGTGGACGTGGCAGGGGAAGGATACTGCAAAATCCCCATTTCCTCCCCACTCCTAGGGGAAGGATATTGCAAAATCTCCATTCCCACCCCACTCTGGAGCCAGTCAGAGGTGGCATTTGCCGGTTCTCTGAACTACTCAAAATGACTGCTACCAGTTCTCCAGAACCTGTCAGAACCTGCTGGATTTCACCCCTGGTGCTGACTCATGCATGAGGTAATCTATACTATGATTGGTTGCCGTGAGTACGAAGGGGGCGTTTCCCTTGTTCCCTGCCTTTTTCTCTTCACTGTGTTCTATATACTGTTAATTTACCTCATGATATTCTTGTATTCCCCCTTTTTTCCCGCCTTTTTCTCTTCAGTGTGTTCTGTAGACTTCTTTTAGATTTACCTCATGATGTTCCTGTGTGCCTGACTATCCTGTATCCTTCCTTTTTTGGATGATGACAAAGACTGCTGAAAATTTGAAGTGTGTGTGTGTGTGTGTGTGTGTGTGTGTGTGTGTGTGTGTGTGAAGGAATTGCATAGCAGCTGCCAAGATGAAGATCTATCTCTCCCTCTCTCTCTCTGTGTGTGTGTGTGTGTGTGTGTGTGTGTGTGTGTGTGTGTGTGCGTGCCATGTTTCCCCGAAAATAAGACTCCGTCTTATATTTTTTTGAACCCTGAAATAAGCACTTGGCCTTATTTTTGGGGAGGTCTTATTATTTTGGGGCGCGTGGAGGAAACCAAAGGAAATGGCAGGGACCGGCTGCACATGTATTTAAATATTTTCAGGGAGGGCTTATTTTCAGGGCGGGGGGCTTATTTTCAGGGGGCGCTTATTTTAGTGCATGGGCTCAAAAGCCCGATTGGGCTTATTATCAGGGGATGTCTTATTTTAGGGGAAACAAGGTATATATATATATGTATATATACGGTATATATATACATACTATATACACACACAATTATATTTTAATTTTGTGCTAGTATCTCCGACTTCATCTGGACAGCTGCTACACAATTCCTTGACAAATTCCATACTGGTTGAAGGCATAGGAGCATTAGTTTCTATTTGAAAACCATCTGCAAACTCAGTTTGTATGCAATGGTTTGTGTTTTAGAGAATCTTTGGTGGTTTGATCACTGTTTATTTCTCCAAATGTCTCCATCCATGGGTTTTTTAAGAAGAGATTGTACAACTGTTTGTCTGAGATGGTATAGGGTCTTCTGCTTGAGTAAGGGGTTGGACTAGAAGACCTCCAAGGTCCATTCCAACTCTGATGATGATTATGATGAGGATGAAATGATCTCAATTTTCTAAGTACTTTCTTATGAATATTTGCAGCAACCTATTGAAGCTGACACCATCCTCTTTGTATCTTGAACTGGAGTCTTCCAGATAATATCTCTGGACTAAATAAATCACAACTTTGCCTTGATGGGCTTTCATCTGCTTCTACAGGTGGTCCTCGATTTACAACAATTCGTTTAGTGACCATTCAATGTTACACTGAAGAAAAAAAAAGACTTATGACCACTTTTCACACCATTGCTGCAGCCGCATTAATCACATGATCAAACTTATGACTTGTTTTTTACACTTACGTTGCACCATCCCCATAATCATGTAATCAAAATTCAAATGCTTGGCAACTGGCATGTACTTATGACGGTTCCAGTGCCCTAGGGTCATGTGATCCCCTTTTGCGACCTTCTGACAAGCAAAGTCAACGCGGAAGCCAGACTCACTTAACAATCGGGTCGCTCGCTTAACGACTGCAGCAGTTCACTTAACAACTGTGCCAAGAAAGGTCGTAATACGGGGCAAAATTCAGTTTAGAAACGTCTCGCTTACTAACAGAAATTTTGGGCTCTTTCATGGACGTATCTCGAGGACTACCTGTATTTTCCAAGGTGGATGTTGGATACACGTCCTTGCAGTGGCAATTGACAGTCTCTTCATACCCCTCATTTGTTTTTGCTGATTTTGAACAGAAGCACCTGAAGCCAACCGCTTAATTTCAGAAGGAAATCAGGATTTCTGCCAGCAGGACATTAAGAGACAAGATGTCTCCAATCCTATTTTCCTCAATGGAACAGGATGGGGGTTGGGAGGGGGGAACGGGGGGGAAGACACGTCGCCGTTATGAATTGAAAAGATCTATTTTCTTCTGCATTCCGTAAGTTAACACAAGGCTTTGGGATCAAGCATTCCGGCTTGTTAAAACTTAAATTGGCTGGTTAATTTGAGGCAGGTTTGCTAAATGGTCAAAGAAGTGGATTTCATAGCTGTGGCAACGGAGCTGATACCTTCCTCAAAGTCACTAAAGAATGGAATGGGGGGAAACAACAACAACACAAAACAGATTGTCGACGGCGGCTTTCTCTGTAGCTAATGATGGTTAAAAATTAGCTGACCGGCATTTTTTGAGGGGGGGTCCATTGAACAAAACAGCCCTACAGTTTTAGAAATCTGGAGGTCTCGTTCTTCCTTTCTAAAGCCAAGAGTCGCCAGCCTCCCCTGAAACGCACACACACACACACACACACACACACACACAATAAGCTGAATGGCAGACCGATTCATAAACGCAGCCTCTTAAATGCCTGAATAAGTCTATTGTATGATCCCGCATAGATCCCTGAAAATTTGGTCACAAAGATGCCATTGGCAACAGCATATGCTAAACACCTTTTTTTTCTTCTTATCTTTTTTTTTTTTTTTAAATGAGGGAGAAAACCCAACAGGCATCCTCTCCAAATCCACCTTGTCATATTTGCAAGCATCTTTCGTTTGTGCAAGGGAAAGCAAAACAAAACAACACCAGCAAATGAGAGAGAGCACACACACACACACACACACACACACACACACACACACACACCGTTCACACTTGTCCGGAAGAAGTGAAATGGGATGGAAAAAGTCAAGCGGTTCTTCTTAAGTCACCAAACCAAAAATCCCAGCATTGCAATATGGTGCTCCTGAAATGCTGGAAGGGAGATGCGTCCAGCCACCCACGTCCGAATGCCAAATCTGCCTTTTTGCACTTGGACCCTTGAGACAAAGAGAAGTGTGGGGGGGGGGGAAGGAGGAGGAGGAAGGGGGGGTCCATGGAATTGCTGGCTCCCTTTTGCTACTGCAGCTGTTGCTCTGTGAGCGCCGTGCATGTGTGCATATGTTGGGGTAACAGCCAGCAGGGCTGAAGAAGCCTTTTTCCATTTCATCAGTGAACCTATCTCCCGTTACTGGTTCAAACTAAAATGTTGATTTTATGCCCACCCCTTTTTCCATTTGCCCGTCTCTTGTGAAGCACAGCGCAGGTTGTGATGATCGTGAACAGCTTACGACACTCAGCGAGCAGGAGAAGCCTCTGCAGGCTGTAGCTTCTTCCTACTGGGCTGCAAGGAAGCCTCGCTCTCTGGCTTTCTCTCTCTTTTTTTTTCTCCCCCCCCCCCCCTCTGCTCTTAAGCATCTTCTTTGACAAGCCAAGAGAAGCAGGAATGGAAAATCAAGCCATTTTGAGCCCGTCCGGTTGGAAAAGGGATTTTAAGCTGCCTCGGAGGAGTAGAAAGATGTTCCCGGTTCATCTCCAATGACGGACGCTAAAGAGACTGTCAAAATCCTGGGGAGCTGTTCAGAGTTTCGGAAGGGGGTCTCTGCTTCTTTCTCGGGTGTATTTTTTTTTCCCACCCCTCCTGCCCTCTCCCTCCCCACGTCACCGAACGAACTGCAGAGAAAAAGGACAGAGAGAGAGAGAGAGGGAGAGGAAGAGAATGGAAGGAAGGATGATCATCAACCGTGATGCCCCTACTTCTCAAACTTGGTGCTGGGAGTCAGCTTAAAAATAAGGAGGAGGAAGGGAAAAAAAAGAAAAAACCAGAAAGGAAAGGAAAAAAAGAAAAAAAAAAGAGATAGCTGGACATGCCTCTCGCCCTCCGAGATGAAGCAAAGTAGACATTGTGCGCCTGCCAGCCGTGCCAAAAGCTGAAAGCGTCCGAATTTGTAGCAACAGAGAGCTCTTTTTGAGCCCTGCATATAATTAAGTCAAACACAAAGGAAGCTGCTGAATGGAGCTTGTCAATCTCTGGAACAGGGTGGGTAAGACACTTTTTAATTTCATTCTCTCGTGGAGAGGGGTGTTTTTTCCCCCCCATAATTGTTCTCGTCTTTGCGGCGGTGTCTAAAAATGGACAGATTCTCGTGTATCTTTTGAATGCTTCTGAACTTTAAAGGCTGTAATACAGAGTCCTGCATGCTGCATTTATGTCCCCCCGAAGCCCCCAACAAGTCCAAGATTTGGCCCGATGACTCTCTTATTTTTGCCTGTGACTGTCCCCTTGCCCTTTTGCTGACATATGATGTGATGTAGAATTTATACGGAGAAAGGCAAGTGACCAGTCAAAGATTCAATGGACTTTCTCAAGCACATTTGGGGATATTCTTGCTAATGGATTTCCTTCTCATTGGGGTCTGTTTAAACTGGCTGCTGAAAAAGCCCCCAGGATTGATCCTGTGTAGCCTGGGTGTTTTTTTAAAAATGCTTCCAGCCGTGCACACTGGGTGTCCGCAGCTTTGTCGGTGCGAGGGCAGGCTTCTCTACTGCGAGTCGCTGAATCTCACCGAGATGCCGCACAACCTGTCGAGCGTGATGGGTTTGTCATTGCGGTACAACAGCCTTTCGGAGCTGCGTGACGGACAGTTCACCGGGTTAACGCAACTCACGTGGCTGTTTCTGGATCACAATCACCTTTACTCCGTCGAGGCACACGCCTTTCAGAAGCTCCGGCGAGTGAAAGAGCTCACGCTGAGTTCCAACAAGATCACCCAACTGTCCAACAGCACTTTCCGGCCGATGCCAAATCTGCGCAGTGTGGATTTATCCTACAATAATCTGCAGGCTTTGGAGCCGGACCTGTTTCACGGCTTGCGCAAACTCACCACGTTACACATGCGGTCCAATGCCCTTAAGTTTGTGCCTGTTCGAATCTTCCAAGACTGCCGCAGCCTCAAGTTTCTCGACATAGGATACAATCAGTTGAAAAGCCTGGCTCGCAACTCTTTTGCGGGCTTGTTCAAACTCACCGAGTTGCACCTGGAGCACAACGACTTGGTGAAAGTCAACCTGGCCCACTTCCCCAGGTTGCTCTCTTTGCACTCCCTCTGTCTCCGGAGGAATAAAGTCACCATTGTGGTGAACTCCTTGGACTGGGTATGGAAACTGGAGAAAATGGACCTCTCCGGCAACGAGATCGAATACATTGAACCTCATGTTTTCGAAAGTGTACCTCACCTCCAGTCCCTTCAACTGGATTCCAACCGGCTCACCTACGTCCACTCCAGGATCCTCAACTCCTGGAAGTCTCTTGTTAGCATCAGCCTCTCGGCCAACGCCTGGGATTGTGGCCGAAACATCTGCGCATTGGCCACTTGGCTCAGCACTTTTAAAGGCCGCTACGACAACAACTTGCTCTGTGCCACCCCTGAATACGCACAGGGTGAGGATGTCTTGGATGCTGTCTATGCTTTTCACTTGTGTGAAGATGCCACGGACCTCACCACCGATGGGGACCTCCTCTCGGCTGCGGTCAACCATAGTGACCCGACAGCCGGCTATAATCCTTCGACTCTGACCTCTGACCTGCAGGAGGCAGAAGGGGATGGAACCACCGACGTCGTGACCCTCACCATCCCCAACGAGAAGACTGAGAATGCTGTTCAGATCCACAAGGTGGTGACGGGGACCATGGCCCTCATCTTCTCCTTCCTTATTGTGGTTTTGATACTGTATGTCTCTTGGAAATGTTTCCCGGTCAGCCTCAGGCAGCTGAGGCAGTGTTTTGTGACCCAGCGTCGGAAGCAGAAGCAAAAACAGACTATGCATCAAATGGCTGCCATGTCAGCCCAGGAATATTACGTTGATTATAAACCCAATCACCTCGAAGGAGCTCTGGTGATCATAAATGAATATGGAGCCTGTACGTGCCACCAGCAGCCAGCAAGGGAATGTGAGGTGTGATTTTAATTTTGTTTTTGTTTTTTTTTTCCAGTGGGGGAAAATTTCACTCGGTGTGCAACCAAATAGCAGTGAGCAAATTACTAAAATAAATAAATAAATAAAAAAAAAGACAATTCAATAAGGGTTGACTTGGCTTACCGGGGCCTTTGTGTGCCGAAAATGTTTTGGTTTTGTTCTGTTTTTTTTTTTTTTTTAAAGGAGCTGTCCCAAAAGACAGGATGTTAGCTTTATTGTGGCTAAACCCTTTCAAGACGTTCAACTTTCTGAAATGAGTTATTTCCTATAAGAGCTCTCTGTGTGAAAGATCTGCCGATAATCAGAAAAAGAAAGTGTAAAAAAAAAAAAAAAAAGTAACGATTACTGATTTTTTTTTTGTAAAACCACCACACAAAAAAATATGTTTAAAAAAAAAAATAATAAAAGCAAAAAATAGCATTTACAATTTTTACAGGCTGTTGTACCGTATCTGAATTGTTTATCTGTATTGGGATGGGGACGTGGATTTAATTCCTCTCACCCACACGGAGCCAAACTGCAAAAAGAAAAAAATCTTGGTTCCTAAACAAACCACAACGAAGCACAAACTTAAAGCAAAGCAATGGGAGAATTACGTGGCTGGTTGTACCATGTTACTGTTGAATTGAATGGCACAATGTTGGAAACTGTGTGTTTGATCTCAATCTGCGATGTAATCTATCATTTATATGCCTGGTGGGGCCCACTCTAATTTGCACCTCCCACAGCCTTGCCCGCCCCCCTTTGGTCAAAAAACTTGGATGCAAGGGTACCCCCCCCCCAAGTTCCTTTAAGACCCCGTCCCCCTCCCCACCTGAAACCTTTCTCTCATGTTCTCAGCTTGCATTAAAAACCCAAAATGATTCCCATCATTGGGAGATTTGGGATGGAGATAGCACCCTGTTTTCCTCTGGTACCCCACATTCGTCAGATTTTACACCCACCACTGCACAACAGAGAGGTGGGCAGAATGTAAAACTCCGCGGCCTGCAGAGCATTGGGGCAAGAGACTGAGAGACAAACCTATTTCCCCTTGGGAAAACTCTTTATTTGCTCACAAAGATTTGGGACAATCTTATCCAGCAGGCCGGCTTTGACCATGGGGCAGTTAGCATTTAGCTGTGGTTGATCTTAGAAAGGTTTCAAGCAGACCCCTGCATCACGTCTCCCAACTGATTCGGCTGATGCCTGGCTAATCAATATGCTTAAAAATAATAATTAAAAAAACCAAAAATGAAACAAAATTTACTTGTCCTTCTAACTGTTAGTACAAATGAAGCAGAAGCAACTACCCTGGTGATCATCAAAGCTATTTCATTGTCTCCTTCCTGTTCCATTTTTTTTTAAAGGTCTAAGCAATGCTACACCCTCTCTGGTTCTGAATTTCGAACCCGTAGCCTTCGTTTATGACCAAGCCATCAAACTGATCTTCAAAACCCCTTCCAGGAGCTTTCGCTTCTTAAGGGTGCTGCTTTCTTTTGAACAACAACCAAGACATAATAATAATAATAATAATAATAATAATAATAATAATAATAATATACCTTAACAGTTCCTAGTTCCTTGGTTAGGACTCGCGCTGCTGAGCTATTAACCAGCCTCAAAGGCTGTGAATCTTACTAAAGATTAAATAATAATAATAATAATAATAATAATAATAATAATAATAATAGTTGCAAACAAGAGAAGACAGGTGTCACTCACTCTCAAGCTTGTTCATCAAGGTTGGATGGAAAAAGAGATGGAGAGGAGGGAAAAGATTTGGGTAGCACAGACAGAGACAGAGAGGGTTGGGTTTTCAAGAACGGCGGAAGCAAAAGGCCAGGGAATTATCTTCCATTTAATTAACTTAAAATGTCATTGCTTTGAAGGAAGGACAGGATTTCAACTGACACCTGCCGGAATGCGGAAGGAGAAGCCTGGGCTGTGATAGATTTCCCTTCCCAGTCTAGCCCTATTCCTTTCCCCTCTCCATTTACAAGACAACCAATGCCTTGCAAATCAGAAGTCTCCTTATCCCGGCCCCCCAAAAATTGTTTTTTTTTCTTCACAACAGAGGGTCCTCCAAGACACTTTTTAGCACCGTCAACAAGCTACTGAGCCCCAGACCAAGTGATCCAAGGAGCTTTGAAATGCCACATTTTTCTCTGCAAAACCCCACCTCGGACTAAATGTGCATTTTTTCCCCCCAGTGCTCGCTACACTATATTTCACTAATGGCTTTGCTGTTCTGTAGCACAGTCATGGGCAGCCTCCTGCTGGAATAAAGATGGAATATACCTCTCTCGCTCGCTCTCTCTTTTTTTTTTCTCTGAGGGATATGCATAGTTAGTATCCTTCCACAACACCGATAAGGAATCATATCAATTTGATTTCAACCAGAACATCAAAGGACCTTTCTTTGATACTTTGGGTATAAGAGAGTTCTCCATGATGCTCCAGATGTTTGTATTTCTTGGCTCCCTTACTCATATGTTTATTTACTTATTTCTCTATTGATCAATCAATTACATTGCTAATTCATCTAGGAATCAAGACCGCCTAGATAGATTTCAAAACTACCAATCACTTCCAAAGTTTCTGTCTGTCTGTCTGTCTGTCTGTCTGTCTGTCTGTCTGTCTATCTGTCTATCTATCTATCTATCTATCTATCTATCTATCTATCTATCTATCTGCATTCAATGCTTCCTCAAAGCAAACAAAATCCACGTTTTTACTTTTGGGCACCCTTAACCATATATTCATTCACATATTTATTTATCTATTGATTAATTAATCACCTGGCTAATTCACCTAGGAACTAAAAGCCCTTAGACAGATTGCAAAACTACTGAACACTTCCAAAGTTTATATATATAGCATTTGATGCTTCCTCAAAGCAAACAAAATCCACATTTTTTACTTCTGGGGCCCTTTAATCATATATTTATTTATCTATTGATTAATCAATGACATTGATCATTCATTAAGGAACTTAAGCCCACCTTAGATTGATTGCTAAACTACTGAACCCCTCCAAACTTTATATATATAGCACTATATGCTGCTTAAAGCAAATAAAATCCACTTTTTAAAAAAACATCTGGGTACCCCTAGTTGTATATTTACTTACTTATTTGTCTATCGATTCAATAATTACCTTGCTACTTCATCTAGGAACTAAGCACCGCCTCCAGATAGACTGCAAAACTATCAAACATATCGAAAGTTTTTTATTTATTTATTTAAATAAAGCATTCTATGCTACCTCAAAGCAAATTAAATCATGGAAACGGGGGTGGTCCATCAATAAACCATCTAGAGCAGTGATGACGAGCCTTTTCGGCACCGAGTGCTGAAAAGGGAGCTGCTTTGCGCGCTTGTCTGGGCCGCAACCCGTAAGAGGAGCTGCCAATGGCGCATGCGCACGCCTGAAAATGAACTTCCAGTTTCTGGCGCCTGCACGAGCGCGAAACAGCCAGCTAGCCTTCCGGGTTTCTGCTCATACACTTGTGATGATCAGCTGGCCCGCACGCATGCTCACGCAGGAAAACAGAAGACCAGCACTTCCAGTTCCTGTCACTACTGCACGCAAAAAGGCCAGCTGATCGTCACATGTGCACGTGCACCAGAAACTCGGAAGAGAAACAGGTGATGCCAGGTGTGCCAGGTGACATGGTTCCGCATGCCACTTCGGGCACGCGTGCCATAGGTTCGCCATCACGGATCTAGACGAAGAAGAAATAAGAACATATGCCTAATCTATAGGTAGAGGAGGAGGGGAATAACTTTGCCTGTTGCTCAGAGGAAGCGGATGAGGTCCTGCCTTTGAGGCCACCTTTATTGATGTGGGCATGTTATCCGAGAAGGTTCTCCATGTATTTTCTCTCTCAAAATCAAGCTTTATCTCGCCCTCTCTCCGGAACGGACCGCAGGAATGTTTCTCATGGTCTCCAGCTGCTAGGGGAACAAATTTGCTGGTAGAAAAATCATTTTTCTACCAGCCTTCTGCCGCCAATAGCCTCCCACCGACCGGTTTGCTCGCACAGAGAGGGCCTCCTCAGGGTGCCGTCGGCCAGGCAGTGCCGGCTGGCGACCCCCAGGGGGAGAGCCTTCTCTGTGGCAGCTCCTGCCCTCTGGAATGACCTGCCCCCTGAGATACGTACGATATCAGACCTCCGGACTTTTCGTCGGGCCCTGAAGACACACTTGTTCCATCTAGCTGGGCTGGCTTGATCCCATCCTCTCAGTTTTTTAATCGAATTTTGGTTTTAATTGGGTTGTTTTAAATTCGGGCCAAAATTTATTTAATTGGTTTTTTAAATGCTTTTAAATTTTATATGCTATGTTTTTATCCTGGCTGTACACCGCCCTGAGTCCCGCAGGAGAAGGGCGGTATAGAAATATAATAAAATAAATAAATAAATAAATTTTCACCACCCTTTAGAGATGTGGCTGTTCAGAATCAGACAGCTTTGGGATAACATTTCAGCGTGTACTGGTTGAAATAAAGTTATTTTGGAAAGAATTTGCCTTTGGACGTATGCAGGAGCAAAAATGTTGATTATTTTTATTTTATTTTATTTTTGAGTAGGCAAAATGACCTTTTTCTCCCTTCTATTTAGGTAAATAGAGAAATCTGTTTATTTCTCTGTGTGTGTGTGTGTGTCCAAGCTTTTGTGATGAACGCACTCATTTCTTTAACTTCTGGCCTCTCAGCCCAGAGACCTAAAATGTGCTAATAACAACAGTTGGGAAAGGTAAAACTGCTTCTCCCAGCGCGGATGAGTTTTGTTATAATTTTCACCGAAAGAAACAAGGAAATTTCAACGTCCTTTCGCCGGCTTCCCTCAAACGGAGAGGAAGGCAGATCAAATAAAAGTACAACCGAATGGAAAACCAGCAGGGTTCCAACAGGCAATCTCAACGCGTAACTTGTCTCTATGCTAGGAAATATTTCTCGCGGGGCTATTGGTGTCTCTCTGACAGCTCTTCCCTCCCGAGGAAAGAGGGGAGCTGCTGCTACTTTGCAAGACGTTTCCGCTCCCGTGAAAATTAGGGCCAGAAATGATTTAAAATTGTAGATCAAAAGAGGCAGCCTAGGGTTGTTGTTTTTCTTTTTTCATAGCCTGAAGGAAGATGGCAGACAGATCAACATTTGATCCAGGGGTGGGCTTCAAAAAAATTTAGCAAGGGGTTTTCTACCCAGTTGCTGGGTGGGCTTGGCCATGGTGGGCATGGCTTAGTTGGCCTCCTGCACCACGGTGGGGAAGGAGCGTTTTTGCTCTCCCCGGGCTCCGGAGGCTTTTCTCGAGCCGAAAACGGCCTCCCCAGGCTCTAGAGGCAGATCCATTTTTCATCCTCCCTGAGCCTCTGCGCACGCCCTGCACTTACCTGCATCCAAAATGGACTGCATGGAGACTCCTGGGAGGGGCGGGGTGGGGTGGGAAGGGC